TTTCTAGGTTATAATTAAAATAATTATGGAATACTACTACAAGTTTTATTAAAAATTACTACAATTTGTATGAATTTTTACTATTTATTGTGTAAAATTTTCGTATTTATTTTCATAAAACGCAATACATTTTTAATATAAATTCATACAATGAATAGCAAAAATTATAACAATTTGTAGAACAATTCTTATGATGCATTTGGATATTTTTACTAAATATTGTAGATAATAACTCTACAATACATTCTCCACAAATATTTGGAAATTTTTACTACAAATTGTCCCTGTCCCTATATGTACTATTTATTGTAGAGAAAAAATCTATAATTGTAGAAATTTCTTCTACATTTTTTTTTCCGTGTACGTTTCACGGATCTGTTAACCTTAACGTTAGCTAAAGACTTTCTTCCAAACCTTGAATGATTATTTTAACTGTGTGGTCAATACTATCGTAATGTAGGAAACAGCAAGTCGAATTTTTGATGTTTTCAGAAAATGCTTTTTATCAACTTTATTTACTTTTTCGTCATATTAATGTTTATTAAAAATTTAAAAATAGATTATGGAAGGTTTTTTCTTATGCTGAATCTTAATATGAATCTAAAATTTGTCTAAAATTAATAAAAATAGGAGAAAATGAAACTTATTTTTTACCGAATTAAACATCTAAAACGAAATAAATAATAGGATCTTAAAATATAGTATTTGGAGTTATTATGTTTTGATAAAGTCATAAAAGTGATTCACCGGTTTAGTTTAAAACGATACTTGCTAGGTTTTACAAAAAGTTTGTTTTTAAATTAACAGGTTGAAATAAATTAAGTAACTCGACCTACTTTGTTTTAAACAGATTTAGAAACAAACATATAATAAAGTCATAAAACAGAAATAAGAAAAAATTGACTCATTGTATTTATTACAAACTTTAACGAAATTACAAAAATGTTCCTCATAACATAAGAAATGAGTATGTAGGTACATACTTTGTCGAGAACCATAAAAACAAAAACAAATATTATTCTTAGAGGAAAAGTTTTTTATGGTTAAAATTCATAAAGGCAGTTAAAGTTCTGAAATGTAACACAAATCTGGTGCATTGTCGTTTGTCGGCAAGAACTACCAAAATTGTTTGCGGCGTTCATCCTGAAAAGCTGGGTGTAAAGACTGCAATATTTTTTTGTCTTTTTTAGAAGTTTTACACCCAGTGGTACTGAAAACGGTCTTTTATGGAAATTAGAAATGAACTTTTTTTAACTCTACTTCAATATAATTTTAATCGGAAAATGACTTTTTAAAAAATACCTTTTTGGGAATATCATATTTAATAAAAACTTTAAAATATTTCAATAATGTAGTTTTGTTGTTTATTTATATAGAAAGGTCACCTTGTGGGCAAATTGTATGGGGCAAAATGACAAACTCGTCAAGTTGCCCCATTTTTCGTCAATATGCCCCGCATAATTATTTCCAATATCTATTTATTTTTGTATTGTTTTAAATGGTTAGAAATTACAAGAAAAAAAGTGATCGTTGATCTTGGTCTGATGTGACAATGGTTGCAGCTCTACACGCAATTGAAGTAGAAAATCAAAGTGTTTATAGCACAAGCATTCAGTATAAAATCCCTGAAGCTACTTTAAGAAGGTATGTTAAAAAAAGGCGTCGTAATGAACCAGTGCCAGATTCTGGTGGTCGATACAAACGAACTTTTACTAATGAGTAGAAGAGAGAATTTGCTGAATATTGTAACGGTCCAAAAATTGTGTCCCACCTCTAGTCTATAATTTAGTTTAATTTGTGTGTAAGATTTAAATTTCGATTTTTGTGCGAAAAGCTTGAAGCTTTACCTGCGATAGTGCCAAATAATTGTTCTAGGAATATTTTTTTTTGGGTTTAACAATTTCGTTAAAAACAGGCAATTGTGTCTTTATCAAGTTAAAATTCCGTTTTTGCATAGTAGCTAACGAGAACAGAAAAATTCAGTTGTTACTGAGTAGACTTCGCATGAAATGGGTGTGATTTGCTAACTTTCAAAAATATAGTGATATTTAAGTCATCCGATAGTGGGTTTAGTTTTGGAAGTTATTTTTCGATTTTGGGATTGTCCTTTACCTGTTGGATATTGGTATTTTGGTGCTCTGGTTGTTGATTCCCAAAATTATCCTTAATAAGGATTATTCCACACTACACGTGCGCTGTGTTCTTGAGGTTCTACCGGCATTTACCTATAGGAAGAAAACAAAAAGGAGGGCGTATTAATAGTGGTTGTTCCCTCGCTTACCGACCCGTAGTCTTAATTAGAAAAAAAAACCCCTTGGCCAGGGTAAGTAAATAAAATTAATTTAAGTAGGTTTAATTAATTTTCTTTTATGAAGGTGATTTGCCACCTCTACCTTTTTATTTAAATGATTTGTTTTTCATCGTCGAGTTCGCCGTTTCTATTCACAATTCTATTGACGATACCTATGAGTTAAATTTATTCTTTTTATGATGCATTTCCATCATTATAGTATTTGATGCTTTTTTGATTATTCTATTGTTTTTATTTTAATATTAATTTCCTAGTGAGCTTATACATATTTTCTCTAAAAAAAAAAAGGAATATTTTATTAGTGCTTATTCTCTTTTCAATTAAAATATAAATGGGTCTTTGACATATTGTCTTTTACTCTTTTTAGGTTTTTTTTTTTACGTTGGGCATCATTTGCTTTGGATTGTTAACTCGAAAACCGGGAGCCTGTCCTAGGAAGTCCTTGGGAGAACGTGATTCGTTCTATTAGGATCGTAACAGCTATTTACACCTCTCCAGCTGGAGTCTGCCGGCTCGAATTTGAGAACGTTCTACGAGATAACCACCGCTGGAAACACGCAAGTTGTTTTTTTTAATGATATTCGAACAGTTTTTTTTTTGACTTATAAATTAATGAACATTGTTTTTTTTTACATGGAGTAGACAATCTGACTCTATTATTTCTTTTTTTCTTGTGGGGATTTATAATTAACGTTAGAATTATTTTTGTGAGCGGAATGCTAAGGATTTGGGCTTTACCTACCTATATTATTTGATATTTGAGGATATTACAGAAATCCTCAGCGCATGCGCCTGAGCTCAAGCGACGCCGAATTAACATTTCGATTTTTTTTGCCATTTATTTTATTCACTCCTTTACTATTTTTGATACAAAAAATTTCCCTTAGGAAGCCGCATAAAATTTATTTATAAAAACTTATTTGGTTAATTTATATAGTTATAATATTTGGACAATAATTAAATATTTATAACACATCCTCAATTTTTACAATATAAAATTTGGTCAATACTATAATATTTATAATATTTCGTCAAGTTATATAATATTTTTAATATCTGATCATTTTATATAATGTTTATAATATTTCGTCAACCTATAAAAAATACATTTTGGAAATAATTAATATTGCAAAAAAAAAGATTAATTATTTTACTTAGTTATTTTACTTATTTTATAGCAAAGTATTTTTTTTTCTCTCTTGGGGAAACTTCTTATCATACTGTTGATTTCTAACTTGAAAATAAATCCGTAAATAATCATTTTGTATTTTATTACTCTTTTTGTGTCTAGGTTGGGTACATTAAGGTACCGGTTTATATTATTGGTCTTTTGTTAAATTGAGGGTCAATACTTAGACAGTCAGGTGCTCGGGCCAATTTAACTGGCGCCCCCCATTTTTTTTTAGTAATTGAGATTGAACCACCCCATCTCCACTAGAGTCTAGCCGCGAGCCCTAAAATAAATTCATCTTCGTAACCGTACTCGGTCTAGCATTCAAATTTAGATATTATTTTACTATATTTTTTTTGTTACACAAATTTGCGGTTATAATATTTAAAAGATTTCCATGCCAGATTTTTCCGGTTAAGCGCAAGAGAATGTAGAAAGTTAGCATTTGAGTTTGCTGACCAAAATCAAATTTCCAATGAATTTAATAAAATATTAAAAATTGTTGGGAAAGATTGGTTAACCTCGTTTAAACAAAGATATAATTTCAGCCTCCGGACTCCAGAATCAACTTCTTTAGGTTGACTTATGGGTTTTAATAAGATTGAAGTTACTCGATTTTTTGATATTTTAAAAAGAAACAAGACTTAAATACAACTTCACAGCTGACAGAATCTTCAACTTGTATGAGAGCGGCTTATCTACCCTCCCTACTAGGCTGCCCAAAATATTGTCCCCAACTGGCATCAAAAGAGTAACTAAAGTTGCCAGGGCAGAACGCGGTAAACATCGTAGTCTGCTCAATTAGCGTAACAGGAACTTTTGTTCCACCTTATTTCATTTTCCCCAGGGTCAGAATGCGGCCCGAGCTCCTAAATGGAAGCCCACCTGACAGCGCCGGCTTAGCTCATCACAGGGGCTAGATGACAACGGAGTCTTTTATTTCATACCTTGTACATTTTATTAAATTTGTTTAGCCCACGAAGGACAATCCCGTCCTCATCATTGTTGACAACCATTCATCTCATCGAGCTCTCGAGGCAGTAAATGTATGCAGAGACAACGGTTTAGTTATGATAGGTCGACCTCCGCACTCCACTCACCGCCTACAGCCGCTAGATATAGGTATTTTTCTCCACTAAAAACTTACTACAGCCAGGCCTGTGAAAATTACTTAGTACAGAACAGCTGTAAAGAGTTTTTAAAAGTGTGGGATAGAACCCTTCAATCCTGGGGTTTTTACTGATTTAGATTTTGTATCGTAATCTTTTAGCTATCGTCCTGTTGCAAATACTAGTCTAGCTAATAAATATAACTCTAGTTTATCTGATGAGGCAGTGACAATCAACCAGTTGCTGTGAAAAAGATCAGGATTGAATAAATCAACAAAAAAGAGGACCAACCTAAACTTGGTAGCAGCAACATTTCAGAACCCGTTCCTGGACCTTCTGGTTCAAAAAAACGAAGAACAAAATCTTAACAAAACGTTAATTGATATAAAACCCAAACCCTTTTTATCAGCGTCCAGATAACCCTAATCGAAGACCTCGACACAAGTCTACAATAACTACATTAACACCAAATAAGAAGGAACTCGAAGAAAAGGAAAGGAAAAAGAAGTTACGAACAAACACAAATAAAGAGAAGGCAAAGAAGGCAGTCTTTGATGAAGATGAAAAGCAAATGGATAAACAAAAAGAAACGGTCGATGCTAAAGATATATTTTGTCCTGTTTGCGAAGAAGAGTATGAAGATCCACCAACCCTTGACTGGATTAGGTGTAGCAAGTGCAACATATAATGGCATGAAATATGCAGCAGATATGAAGGGCAAAGTGACTTTATATGTAATTTGTGTCTATAAGCCAATTTGCCCCAATCGACCCCTAAAGTTGTCCCATGGGTGGGGCAAGATGAAGAATAAGCAACAAGTTTTTTTTGTTTTCTCATTACCTAATATACCGGGTGTTCAAATTAAAGTGTTACAGTTAAATACCGCCGAAAATATGCATTTTAGAAAAAAAGTTTCAGACAAAAGTTTTATAGTTTTTTGGGGGAAACATTTTGGCTAAATTCATTTTTTTATAGCTGACCATAATATGGCCATATCGAGGTGGACTTTGTTTTTTTAAATGGGAATCCCATTTTTTTCTTACATATTCTTAAAGTACATAAAAAAATAAGAAACTTTTGAGGGAAATATATTTTTTATTGGACTTTTGCTTTTTGAGTAACAGTTACTTGAAAATGTTGCTGCGCGAAAAAAAAGTTGGCCATATTATGGTTAGCTATAAAAAACGATTTTAGCCAAAAGTTTTTCCCTACAAAACTATAAAACTTTCGTCTGAAACGTTTTTTTTTTTTTATAAAAAGCGGTATATAGCTGTAACGCTTTAATTTAGAACATCTGGTATATATATTTTTTTCATTTTTTCATATTAGTTTTATAGTTTATCCGTAAGGGTTTTTGTTCATAAATTTCGATTTGGGTTTCCCCTTTAAAATAAATGTTTTTTTGAAAATGTTCCTTAATGCAGCTAATTTTCCCCGCTTTCCCCTACTTATGTTACCATGAAACAAATCTACAGCCATAAAAGAATATCAGTGTTGAAAGTATTTTATGGTTATTTGACTTCACAAAGCAAACAAATGAAGAATAGAAAGTCCAATTTTTGTTTTAAGCGATAAAATTGTCCGCCCAAAAAATATGAAGTCATTAATTTGAGAGTTGGTATTCTTGATGCTATTATAGTAAGCCGAAGTTACATCAGCAGCTGATCTTCCTATCGTAGCTTCGTGCCATACAACAAATATATTTTCTTCCACTTTTAAGGAGGAAAATGTTTCGTTGAAGACCACTAGCCTAAAAATAAGATAGAAACTCAACAATGAACTAAGTAAACTAAACATTTTTGGTAACCTATCTTGAAATAAAAAGGATTGTTTGGTCGACATCTTTGGAAGCAGAAGGACTTTCTGCATATTCACGCTATATATCTTTTGACGATCATCCACATTTGTATCTTCTTCAGACTTATACTCCTTTCGAGTGTCTAGTGTATCTAGTTTTGTCATTTTAAGGCATGTCTCACAATCTTCAGTAGAACATGTTTTTTCATCTGATAGGTGAAGCGCGACTAAACCCAATATTTTGTTTTTCAAATGTTTTTCGGTGAAGAGCATAAGACATTTTATCAAATATTCCACAATTGTCTGCCCACAAATATTTTATCGTGAATTCGGGGGGAAGGTAGCGCCTATTAGGCGAATGCAGCAAACTGTAATGCGAGACAACTGGATGGAACTTTTCAATTTGGGATGTTACCAACTTTTTGGTTTCTTGTTTTTTACTTTTGCTCAATTCTTTTGCGACCAATCCTCTTTCGTCCTCTAGTTTGGTAAGCCCGTCATCACTATTTATTTTTGAACTAAAGTGGTTTGTAATCATACCATCAGTTTTTAATCTCAACGTGTGCAAAAACTTTGTTTTGCATACTTGTTGTTTAGTTTCATTATTGCGGATTAATGGTAAATGATAACGTAAAGAAAACATTTTAAAATTTATGGCCTTCTGTCTTCTGTACTTTATTTTATTTTGAGCTATGTAAGCTTCTATAAAAAGCCTTCTTCCTCCAATATTTAAATTCCAAAACTTTTTTCTAATTTGTTCTCTTAAAACTTTAGATAACACTTTTGTCTACATTAGGGAGATTCATTTCCGCATTTTTTTTTTGTTTTCGGTGCTCATGCAAAACATTAATCTACATATAGAAAAAAAAATTCTCACCAAGCTTGAGCTCTTAATATGAATTTTAAATACTTACTATTTAAATTCAAAATGCTTGTAAAAATTTTTTTTTCCAAATTTCTAATACTTACCCACCTTTACAATATTGCAAATCGGTTTGATGGACCTTGTGGGGAATTTCACGCTTTTCGAAATTATATTCATTATGAGTGAGAAATTATAATAATTCTAAAAAAGTTCTTGGTGAAGGGAAATATAATGGTAATCAATAAAAAAACTTAATCTAAATAACATTATGAGTTAGTATTTATCAATTTCTTACGTTTTCAGGCATAAAAATGGCTGTAAATTCATTAAATATTGGTCGGATAACTTTTTTAATGAGTCAGCCCTTTTTTCTCTATATACCTTTGGGGGTTTGCTCGAAAAAATTGAAAAAAAAAATTATTTTTTCAAAAACTGTACTTTGACGACTATAACTCGTGAATTAGTGTTAGTTACACAAAAAAACTCTGAAGTAATTTCGAAGAGCATAAAATTCCCCACAAGGTTCATGAAACCGATTTGCAATATTCTAAAAGGTGGGTAAGCATTAGAAATTAAAAAAAAAATTGATATTAGGAGCTCAAACTTGGTGAGAATTTTTTTTTTCTTTATGTAGATTAATATTTTGCTTGGGCACAAAAAAAAAACTTTTCGGAAATGAATCACCCTAGTCTAAATTTGCTAGTACACGGAGGTAGCAAGCCGTGTTTTTCACTACGAGTATTGTTGAATGATTTCTTTTTAAGTTTGCCTTTTTCTTCTTTTATAACCTTGCCTACAATTTCTTTTAGAAATGATCTACCACATTTATTTACCTTTTCGTTAGAATCGTCTTGTTATTTTCACATTTTTCTTGGGCCCCAATGATGGGTTCTACTATTTCTTGACTATTATTCAAAACGTCAGCCTCCTGACTGGGACTTTCTGATTTTCTGTTGGTGTTATCATTTTCGTCATCTGAAGGAAAATCTTGGATAGGAGTCGGTGCCCTTAAAACTTATATATATTCTATATGTGTCATAATTATATTATAGAAATGTTTGAAACAAAAATTGCGCAAGATTTTAAGGGGCGGATGACGTAGTTTTTGTTAAAAAAAAATACGGGAAGAAGTCTTTGGCGCACCAATTTTTTTTTATTATTAAAAAGTTGTGACATTCTCGCACGAACGCCACCAAGTAGAAATATTCGGAAAACCCCAAAAAAATGCACATAAATAAAAAGTTAAAACTATCTCTAAAACGAACTATATTTCGACCTACGTTAATATAAAAAATGTTTTTAATAACCTAGGAATATATGCACCCAAAAAGTAGGTAAATATGCGCATATATATGCCGCAAAATACTTCAATATATGCGTAAAAAATTGAAAAATATGCAGAGCATATGCAATAAGAGTAATTTGTTATTTGATCGAAATAGTTTTTTATTATTTGTTTTATTTTACAATACCTAATATAGTAATTAATAATTATTTAATTATTAACTAATTTTATTTACAAATCAACATTATTATAAAACGAATGAACAATTAGATGTTTTTCTAAATTATCTGTATTAAATGATTGTCTCCTATTAGTAAGTATGTACTTGTACAAAGAAAAACTCCTTTCGACATCTACAGAAGTAATAGGTGCAAACTTAAATTTTCCTGAAATATCTGGATGAATAGTATTAATATCTTCAAAGTTACCAGAATAAATATTAGCAAGGTTTCTTAAAACAATAAATCCTTCATTTTTTTAAAATAACATTTGAAAATTTATGAAAAATCATCTTTCCAATATCGTCCTGTACATTTTTACACTCTGATTCAAACGTCTTAATTAAATTTACGGAAATCACCAAAGGTAAATTTTTTTGTTCTAAATATAAATATAATTTTGGGTATAAATGCATAATTTTTTAATAACACTAATTGCTTTGGTAATATGTGATTTTGAAACAACTTCTTTGTATTAGATGTTCCCTTAGATGAATCATCAAAATCAAATATGATTTCTTTAATTTTTTCATAATTATCTGCGTAAAAAAAGGCAGCTTTAAGCCAGGTACCCCACCGAGTAATCATAGGTTCCGGTGGCATCTGTAATTCAGGAAATTTTTCTTTGTACAATTGAGTTCTTAGAGGAGCTTTAAGAAATATTTTTTTTACATTACTAATTAAATCATTTATTAAAGGAAAGTTAGACCTAATTTCTTATGTACCTCTGTTAACATGTAACATGGATTAAGTGTTCATAAAACATTTTTAAATTTTGTGCGGCTTTTACCATGTACGGGGCAGCATCGGATAACAGCAATAAACATTTTTCTGTTGGAACGGCTTCCGGAAGAAAAAAGGAAGACAATTCTGTCTGGATAAAACGAGTTATTGTCAAGTTATTTGTTTTATCTAATTGCTTTGAAGCTACATATCGACCACCGAGTCTCAATGTACAAACTGTCAACACCACGTTTGCGTAAGATACTTTGCTCTGGAATATTAAATTTACAGTATTTTTGCAAAAATTATCGGAGATTTGGATTATTTAATCTTATTAAAGAGATATTCGAAGTCACTAAAGCTTTGCATAAATCTTCATTAAAAATAGCTTGTTCACATCTAGACGATCCAGATTCTAAATATTGTTTCAAGGGAAGTTGACTTTGTCTGCGAGTGTCTTTAGATTTTTGCTTTGCTATATGTGAGGGTGTTTTTTGAAACTTTTTTTTACATGGAATCTAAAACAAATAAAGTCCTGTAGATGTTGAAGTTTTAATTAAATTAAATAAATGCGTACGTTGTAAAGTTGCCCTACTTTTTTTTTAACTGTGAGTTGAATTAATATTTTACTGTCGTTTGATTTACCATTGTGAAAGGTCAAAATAAAATGTAAAATAAAAAAGTACTTACAATTTTAGAACATGTTTTACAAAACCCCTGGTTATCACCTTCTACAATAAAATCTGAATAAGATTTTACCCACGACTCAATTAATTTTGCCATTTTTCCCACTGGTTAAC